TAGAGTTTAGGGGAGCTATCGAAGATCGGGTTTATTGTAGTGAAAGATACATGATTAGTACTGAGAGTACTGAGAGTCGAGTCGAACTGATGTGACGTTTTCGTCAGATTTCATCGGCTTTCCGGTCTTTGTGTCACACGCGTTCACGGCAAGCGCTTCCCTTTCAGGTGGCACAAGTCAGTTAACTACCTGAACGGCCTAATAAACATCATTAGTACATGATACATAGGATTTCGGGTCACACATAATCATAGATAATATTGGTAATCCAACAAGCTGATCACAACTGTCAGTTATCCTGTACCTCATTTAAACCACACTCCCGTGAAATTCGTGGTTGCCGCTTATCAGAGTTAAACGAGATGAACGTATTGTTTAATAAAACACTTAAGCGGAAGTAGTGGTTGACGATAAGGCTGGAAAAATGAACAACAAATGAAGAGGAGAGAGTTAAATCTGCCCAGTAACTGAGAAGGAGTAATTTAAAGTCAAAGATATCCAGATTTTAATCTGATGAGGATTTTTCAACCGAAATGGCAAAAGCAGTGTTTGTTTTATGCAGTTATACGACAGAAAGACTACGCATGGAAACTCAACAGTTTAACTATATACATCATTCAAGGGAAACCTGAAAATGCATCGATCTATCGCTGGCATATCAAATCGCACCACTGTGGGATGAGGCAAACACTCTAACTACGTGTGTTCCAGTTGCCCTTAAGTCGCTCCGCAAAGCCGTTTGGCCTTGTTACATCATTTATGCATCCATGTGGCATTACAAGTCCCATCCATACTTGCATACTGTGCCCATTTGTTTATACCCCAAATAGACTGAAGAACGATAAAACAAGACAAAGGGATAGTGGAAAATAGCTAACGCACAACATGAAACTCCGCAGGGAAGTTTGAAATGTCAAATGCATCGAACTATTTTTATACTTAATACACTGTGAAAGCGGTCATGGACAACAGTAAAACCCATTGAATTCCAGTGGATTCCGAGTAACCTCTATGTTTCGGAACACAGGCAGCTTGGAAAAGAAATTGAACTTTTAACTTTATTATGTGACAGCTAATTATATCAAGAGATAGTTGTCGCATGAAGCCTAAATGACTGAAAGAACTCATGATATTACATTCAGACGAACTGTCGATCAACAGTGTCATATCGGAGTAAAATAACAAATTTGACACTCCATTCCTTTACTCTGTCATGTAAATGGGCACCGTGTAAGAATGTAGTGTTAAAGACTGAATAAACCGAAACTGAAACCCCAACGTTAGATTCGCTGGTTTCCGACATGCTTGACATCTGAGAACCCCAGTGAACATCTTATTTGGGTCAAGTCACTAAGCAACATATGTGCTCTGTTAGGTAATTATAATTGCGCGTTCAAGTGAGTTCAACCAACTTCTCACCGGAAGCATCTAGAATGGATTGAAATCACACGTACGGGAGAGGCAAACGTGAGCTGAGTTACCCAGAAAACAGGAAATAATTGATCGTGAGTCAAGCAGAACGCACATCAAATACTGGTCACGGATTGCAGTCATTCGATAAGAACAGCAGTCTATACGCGCGTAGCTTCG